GTCTGCTGAGGTTATGATCTACTGGTAAGAGAATAAAGTAGAATTTTGATCTTTGGGTCAGAAAATATTACGTGTTTACTTTATTGCCTTAACTCTAACCAAACTGACTTGGTGCATCCAGATATCGCGAACAGGTAGGCGACACGCGTATTAGAATTTAAAATCCTTTCGTTTCATTACTCTCGAGGATTGGTCTGCAAATCCTGAGTCGTGTGACGCTTTTGCAATGAAAGCTGACCTCATCCTAGACGGTCGACCTCCCTATACTTCCATACAATTTGCTGCTCGATTCCCGAAGAGTTACATCCATCCTCCCCTGTCTATCTTGATGCTGTTCAAACACTTCGCGATTTCTTCCACATCGTAATAAGTAAGGGATGTTCTTCGTCTGACTACATATGCATTTACATGGTAAGGGAAAAATTTTTTCCTTATTGGTTCCAAATGAAGAAGCAGAGAGACTGATATTTATTGTAAGAGGTAGCATGTAAAGGCTTTTTACTGTTAAGAGAGAAGAATATCGTGGAAAATCTAATAGAATTATAAGCATTTGCTTAAGTATTTCTCTTCCTTTGTGGATTTATCCACCCATTGGTGGCTTCCCCTGCATTAGCAGCATTCAGATAAAAGTCAGAAAAATGCATAACATCTAAAATTTAAACGCATTTCCGTATAGTGGAGATTCTAAATAGCATATCTCTTGATGTTCAAGGGGTGAGGGTCTGTAAAGAGCACTTCCCAAGAGAAGGGTAATCAATGCATTAAAGACGCACAATTTTCTTGCTATTCCAACTAGCAGCTATTCATGGCATGAAGTGAGCTGCAAGTGTCTTTCGAATGTGCAAAATTAGGAAACTTTACTTAGGCTATGGAAAATGTGTGTCAAGGCGTTGTGGACACCTTTGCAGTGGTTTGCAAAGTCTGGTCTGCAAACTTAATTCTCCTCAATCATCAAAATTACCTGCTAGGCCTTTTTTGAATCAAAAGTGAAAACCGAAACAGACAAAGGAATAAGAAGTGAGGTTCCAGTGACGCTAGCACTCCACTACCAATTTGTATTTCAAAAGGCACAAAGGAAAAATTTTCCTGCCGTTTTAAAAAAAGGCCTAGATGAATAAATGCCTCTACTTCGTTGAGCATAAAAGCGAGCTCTCATCTTCCAGGATGGGAATTTACTTGCCAGTGGTTTGCAGGTGGATAAGTGCTAATTATTCTTGTTATGAAACGATAGTTAACCTTTACTATTTTATACCTTTGTTCTTAATAATGCAGTTGAATTAAACAAATTATGCCGGAGGACTTCTTGACTTGAAAACACCTTTTCGTGTTGAAAAAGGAAAATGAAAGGCTACTTCCCATAGCGCATGCCTTGAAGTGACCACAACTGCAACATTTTAATTGAAAGGACTAATTCGATGGGAAGGATTAAAAAAGACAAACAATTTGTGTGGGAGGTGAGGGGTAAGAGCACTCGGCGGTCTAATCATCACTTTGCAAAGGAGTCATAAAAGTAAATTAGGCGAAGATGTGGTCAAAGGCAACATAAATTAGCCAAACCCAAGAAACTTAACCGAGGTGTCATGATGACCCCATTGATGAAGCAGTTTTGCTAAACACAAATAGAAACTGACAATGATTCCCCTCCTCTTTATTTCACCTGCACTCCCTAGTACCTGTTCGTTAGTTCTCATTTTGATGAGTAACACCTAGTAGAAGTCAAACAAAAATTGCTTTTTACCAGCAAGAAAACAAAGATTTTTTAATGTAAGGAATGGATTTCTAGTTCTCACTGAGTTGGAGCTCTTCACTCTTCTGTTTCCATTTATAATGCATGATTCCTCTTCTCGTGTTATCGTAGGAGGGGACCGCTGCTCGCTCGGACAGACCTCCCTCATCAATTTTAATTTGGTCGCCAAGCTAATTATGCAACATGCAACAATGCAAAGCAAAGAAAAATTGAGGACTAATTTTATCATGCCAGATTTTTATGTTGTTTTGATTGGCCATTACTCCTCCTCGGTAGTCTCCCTTCAGGGGAACACTTCCAGTCCCTAAAAAGTTCTGAGATAACATTTGAAATCTGTCCCAATGACGTGGCATCTAAAAGAAGTCTGTACAAGACTCCTTATTTCCCTCAATACAGCTTGTCAAAAAAAAATAATGTGAGCTGCTTAAATAATCCAAGAACCGTGAAAAGTAGTTAAATCTTGTCACTTTTATCCATCGTCTAACCACAGATATCCTTCAACCAACGCTGAAATTACCATGTAGAATTCGGTTGGGCATATTCTGGTAAAGTTTGAACTCATTTAAAAGGCTCTAATTCTTTCAATGCCAATCAAATATACAATCACCTTATTATAATCTAAACAAAACAAGCCTTTGGCTTTCTGTGGAACTAAGATGAGCATAAGGCACCCTATTCACACCATGGTGGCTTGGACGTTTGGCTTGTCTTATGCGATTCAACTAATAATTTTCAAGCCCTAACGAAATTTTCCTGTCTTCTTACTAACTAGATAATCAGTCTTGGAGATACCTTACTTGTAGCTTAGTTTTAGAGTTTCCTTAGGCAGCGAATTTCTAGTAGTCCACGCTATTCTGGAGGCATCCCTGATAACAAAGGAATGCATAGGCTGAAGGCATAGAGTGATCCCAGTCGCTCGTATTTTTTGGAGTTTGGCTCTCCTCTACAACTAACTTTTCTCTAAGAACGATATAGATTAGACAAGGAAGAAGAAAATATGTTTGCGGCGTTCCAGAATGCTGGAGTATACGACATGAAAAGGAGAGAAAATGGAAAATTAACAGGGGTCGCTCGTATACACAGCGTCGAGGTTTTCTCCTACCTCGCATTTGACACCCTTACATTCCT